AAATTTGGGGCGGTTTGGGGATAATTGTAAATTTGCAGTGCTTTTTAATGATCGCAACTGCAAACCTGCAGCGGGTTTGGGATCCAAACTGCAAACTTGCGGCGGTTTTACAATTGCAAGTATAAATTTGCAGAGGTTTTTGTGGTCAGAAAACCAATTGTAAAATCGCTGCAAATTTGCAATTATGGTCACAAAACTGCTGCAAATTTGCAATTGTGATCACAAAACTGCTGCAGATTTTCAACTGTGATCACAAAACCACAAGTTTAAAATTGCAATTGTAACATCGGGGCAAATTTGCAATTATGGTCACAAAACCTCTGCAGATTTGCAATTGTGATCCCAAAAATGCTGCAAATTTGCAATTGTGGTCAGAAAACTTCTGCAGATTTACAATTGTGATGCCAAAACTGCTGCAAATCAGCAGTTTTGATCACAGCGATTTTACAATTGCAATTTTAAACTTGTGGTGGTTTTGTGATCACAATTGAAAATTTGCACCGGGTTTGGGATCACAACTGCAGATTTGCAGCAGTTTTTGTGATCAAAACTGCAAATTTGCAGTGGTTTTGGGATCACAATTGTAAAATTACAGCGGTTTTACAATTGCACGTATAAATTTGCGGAGGTTTTTGTGATCACAGTTGCAAATTTGCAAAGGTTTTTGTTATCACACTTGCAAATTTGTGGTGGATTTGGGATCACAATTGTAAATCTGCAGAGGTTTTCTGACCACAATTGCAAATTTGCAGCAGGGGGTTGGTTGGTTGGGGTTTTTTTATGATTTTTTTTTTTTTTTACTTCTGCGGAGATTTTATGAAGCGGTATTTGCCATGAAGGACAGCGCGGAGTCGGTCTCTTTGAGATTCCTCTCTTTAAACAAATAAATATTTTCTTACCTATTTATATGAAGGCTTTTCCGTGTACAAATTCTCTTTTCTTGGTTATTTTAATTTATTTTTTCATTATCATTTCCATCTGGATGGAGGAGCATTTTGATTTCCAGGGTTTCGCTTCACCTGTTGGTGAGGGTTTGGAGCCAGGGGAGCGCTGTAAGCTGGAAAAAATGAATAATAAAGTGGGTTTAATGCCAAATATGATTTTTTTTAACCCCCCCCCCGCTGTGGGGAGTAGGGTTTTTTATGGATCTTCCCCCCTCCTTGCTGGTGTCGAGGAGACGGGGGGGGGACACACAGGGAAGCACAACAGAGGCTGGTTGCTTAGCGCTGGGTTGATGGTTGTGAAGGGCTCCGGGAGGAGAAGGTAAGGAGGAAAAATTTTGGGGGGGTGAGGGGGGAGAAATAAGATTTTTTTGCCTCCCTAAAGGTAGGGGAGGGGGGGGGGAACCCTGGAGGCATCTCCTGCCTCCTGAAAAAAAACTGAGAATCCAGAAATCCTCAATCCCGTGGTTTTTGGGGGGAGGAGAAACGGCATTTTCCTGGGGGTGTGAGGGGCTGGGAGACACCGACCCCCCCCCCCAGGGCAGGGGGGGGAGATCCATGATTTATTTCGGGAGCTGGGATCCCCCCCCCATCCCTCTGGGGCATTTTGAGCTTGGATTGAGGATTTAACAGCTTTCCGGGGGGGGGTGGGGGGGCAGAAAGTCTTTTATTA